TTTTTCCCGGAATAAATATGCATATTGTATGTATATCCGCCCGGATGTTTAGTTTTATTCCGTACTTGTGCCACTGTATATTACAAAAACTAAGACTATATATTACACTATATATTACAAAAACTAAAACTCCACAGAACCTTCGTCAGTTACTATATTTTTACCGGGTTTTACTGCATCTTGAATGTACGAAGAATTTTATCAACTACATTTCAGAGTTTATGTAACCGATCCTCGGTTCTAGCCGTTTCATTATCAGAAAAGTGCAAGTATTTCAATATTGCTAAGAATCAATCGCATTTCATTGCTTTCTGTATATGCGCATTTGCATACATCCCCTTTTTGGACCAATATAGTCGAATTTTGGGTACCTGCACTACACCCATAATAAGCAAGATACCAATAAAGGTATTCAATTCACTTTTTTTAACGGAGTTCCATGCTTGTTGATGTTGTTTTCTGCCATATACCGCATTCACTATGCACTGCTCAGCATACCTATTCATCTCTTCAACAATGATCTCCAATATCTCGCCTGTGAAGAATAATTTATATAATGCAACAGGATCATCGCAGTTCCTCTCTTTGATCAGTAGCTCTTCTTCTTCCGAATACTTTTCCTCTGATGCACATTTTTCTGCTATTTTCCGCTATTCCGCATCATCATCATCTTAGTCAAATACATCAGACTCCCAAAATTCTATTTCTTCGTCTCTTTTGCATGATTCCAGGTACGGATTCATCAGACAAATGACTGAATTCCATATCCATTGTATCTAATATTTAGATGGGCAAAAATTAAAAATGAAAATGCTAACTGCCTTTTTAGAAGGAAAGAAACATTTTACTACCGTTACACTTATAGGAAGAAATGTGTGCTCAGATAATTCATTATGTCAGAACTCTACTGACCTTGCACCTCACAGGCATTTCACACAGAATACTTGCACACTAGCAGTACTCTTTCTCTCTTGCCGTCAGCTCTAAACTTAGTAAAACTCATATCGTCATCTAAATGTTCGATAATGGTCCCTCGTTACTAGGTCACACACTATATATCCAAACAGTGTCGACTGGGGCGTATTCATTTCTCAAAAGTCAAATTTTCTCCACTATGCATGCGCGGTTCTGTACTTCTAATTGGGCTACCGAAGATCCAGAGGCGGGTCAATGTTCGCCCAACTAAAGCCCACTCCGAGGTCCGCGATTTTCCAAAGGAAATACAAACCGATCTCTGAGAAAACCACGGGACAGTCCTCGGCCACTTAGCTCGGCAATATATATCTTTTGTCAGCAGCCCAGGAAACCAAATACTATTGGGGCCTCAAGTGCCTGGCTGCCTGGAAATCGTTTAGTCGTAGTTTCGACGAAATCACTGCTCGCACTCAACATAATCTACGACATTGCTAGCGCACAACTATTTCTTTTTCCTAGTATGACATTGACCATATGCATCATTTGCCCATCGACCGGGCTTTAAGCCATAAAAAAACTAATTACGTTTTTTCTCTATTAATGCGACTGGCCACCGTGGATCTTGTCGGCAGGCCAGATAACGTGCGGGCCACGTGAGAATTTTGGAAATTCAGTGTATTCGAATCAGCTAGTGGGTATCAGGGTGCAAGCATTAAACGAACTGCTAGTTGAAGTGCCGCCGCACGGAATGGACCGCGAATATCCGAGGTGGCATCAACGTGTTGAGATAATACATAAGTAATGAATTTTAGTATGTGCAGTGGTTGCTTTCTTATTGTCTTGCTTTTTTGCTTCTTCTTCTTCTGGTGTAAATTTTTATGAAATTGTTTGTAATGACGGGTTATGGGAGAATAAAGGCATTTTTGAATACAACAGAACTGAGAGATCAGTTCTTTTTTAATTTTTAATTAAAAAAAAAGTCAAATATATCCATTGACCAAGCCACCCTTCTCTTTTGCATCTTAAATCTCACTGTCATGTTTTGATTACCACTAACATTATTTTGATATATATATAGTCTGCAATGAGTATTGCCCCCTAAAAAATTTGACGGGGATGTTGCAATAGCTGCCAACTTTTCCAGTTCTACTGGAAGACTCATTTTTTCATCACATCTTTCAGTCTTCTGGAAGATCACAGAGCCTCCCAGCTTTTAATTTTAGCCTTTATTAAAGAAAATTCCTTGCAATAAATGAAATTTTTTGAATTAATGGAATTGAGCAAATTTTCTTCTCCCGTTCCTTGTCATTTTCAGCACTATTTTTTCTTTTATATTTTATTCGGTCTAAATTGCCTTCATTTTTTGGTCAACATTTGTAGAATTTTATTATGAAGATTCAACCATTGTTTAATCAGTTAATATTTCTCTTTAATTTTATTGTACATCTGAAAGTGATATCATATTAATTGTATTGCTTTTACAAACAAATAAAAGCTATTTTGTCTGTCTTAATGCAAAAGTGTAAGAAAATTACAGAATGAAATTATCCAATGAACATAAAATTTAGAATACATAATTAAATGTTTATATTTTACATTAAAATTACATTATAAATAACCTAAATCATGTATTATAAAGCCAGTTTAGAATTCTATTGGAATGACGTTGCTGCACAACCTTTCAGTAAAATTCCTGTTTTTCATATTGCAAGATTGGCAGCTATAATGTTGTTTTTTAACTCAGTAAGCATTTCATACATATTGTATTCAAGATACCCAGGTACCCACCACAGGAAGTAATCATAAATTGATAAGTCTGATCTGGAGAGCCACTAAATATTACCATTCTGGAATATGTTATAATTTATGAAATATTTGAGTGCAGCTTCCACTAAAATTTTTAATACCACATAGTACTTAGCTGAAACCTAAATGGCTCATCTGAAGGAAAATTTACAAAATGTGAATAATGTGTGTGACATTAGCATATATGTAAAATGTTACTTTAGAATATGTCCTTGCCCATCTTCAAGAAAAGTGAGGGCTAATTATTCCCACTGAAAAGAACTCTTAAGACACTGATTCTTTAACTGTATCTCTGCCTCTGAAAAAGTTGTCACCTACAGTTAATAATATTCAAAATATGATATGATGCTGCATATTTCACAATTATATGTAAAGTGCAATTATTTACATTTTAAAAATTTAACAAGTAGCAATTTTGTTACATTCAGAAATGCCATAATTTCGCTGTATTCTATATTTCTTCCTCTTTAAAGTATCTTGAAAATGTCAGCAGTCAACATGAATTTAAAATATTTTATTCCAAAATTAATTTATGTATTAGTCAAATCATTTAAGGGTTCTGATTGCTGCCAAATTCTCCCATGTGTGACTAATAAGACTGCAAAATTAAAATATTGAATTTCCTATAATTTTAAAATGAGTTAAGAAGTGAATTGCAAGCAGTTGCTTTTTAAATAACTCAGTAAAATTGTGAATATGAAATAACCTTTTTATTAAACCCTGAAATTCAATTTTTACCTTATAGGCATGTACACTATCTACGAGGAAGTATTAGGACACTTATGATAGAAAAGAAAAACAAAATTTATTCATATTCAATAGTTGGTAGAGCTTCCATAAGCGGTCATTACACCCTCAACCATCCGGGGCATGCTTTCCACAAGTCTTTGTATGAGGGCTGTTGGAATTTTCTTCCACTTAACTTGGAGAAGACGTGCAAGTTTCTTCACCGATATTGCTTGTTTGTTGCACTCCTTAATTCAGTGATCCAACTCGTCCTAGAGATTCTTGATATAATGCTCAGGTCTGGGCTTTGGAAGGTCAGTCCATTCAGTTAACCCCATTGCCAATTCGTTGGGACCTCACAGCATGACAGCTGGCGATGCCATCCTGAAAATAACATGAGTTGTAAAACTGCCACAACTTAGAAAACACACTGTCATCCAAAATAGCGCATTAGACATCTGTGTTTAGTTTACCATAAATTTGTACAGTAGAAACACCCCCGGATTGTAATTTCACCTCCGCAGAAATTTATTGTGGGCACGGTGCATTCTGGCAGGAGACGTTCTTCAGGCAGATGCTAGACCCAGACTCTGCCATACAAATGGTAGAGGGTAAACTTTGATTTGTTGCTTCAGAGAATTTATTTTCACTTTTCAATGGTCCACTGTTGGTGTGCTTTGCACCACATTAACAAAGCAACACGGTTGGACTTATGGGCAGCAGCACATCCATGAAAACCACGCAGATATGCTTTCTTATGGATGGTATTCACCAAAACAACACTCTTGCTTGCCTGTTGAAAACTTCTGGAGTATGTGGGCCGTCATTTGCATGCAGTTTTTCTGAATTTCTCTGCACAGCACATGTTAATCTCTTTATCTCCCAGTTTCGCTGGTCTGCCAACTTAAAGCACATCCAATAATCGTCACTCACCTTCCACTTCTGAATCACGTATGCCATTGATTGGCATACGTGATTCAGAAGATACGTGATTAAATTTGGATAATTCAACTCACTAGATATGCTCCTTAAGGATTAGCCATTTTTATGATACCTGACGATTACACCTTTCGAGAAATCGGATAACTGCACCTTGTGGCATCTTGGGTGCCACTAGCCAGTGTTGTTTCCTACATGATATTTAATGGTAGATGGCATGACATATATCAAGACTTTGGGTATCGGCATTTGCATGAGTATCTAAATACTTTTTTTTTTTTAAATAGTGTATAGGTATCTCGCTGCATTTGATAGGAATGATTTTTACACTTTGCAACTAAGCATATTGTATTTTTGAAATTTAATCTTTTTCTAATCGCATATAAAACATACTTAAATATAGAACAATATGTGAACTGTGTATTAAATATATATTCTTGTTAATAAATATTATGAAGTTCTGTGTACCTATACAATGTATAGTATTGAAATTGAGTAGTATAGTATTTGTGCTATTAATGAAATGTTGAAATCAGAAAGAATATAAAAAGCCAGTCAAAATATTGATCTAAAAATTATAATGATGTATAAACTTATAAAGAAGATCTTTTTAGAAAGGAGAAGGCGTTGGAGTGGTGGTTCAAAAGATTTTGAAGTTGATGAAGAAGAAAAAGAGGATGATGATCCACGTCTTAAAAAAGAAGAGGAAGAACTGTCTAAAATTGCAACTGGTATAGGCAAGGTAATTTTAACAAGATTTTATTTCTGTTCCATTTTCATTTTTAAAAAAAATTAATTTAATAAACGTGATTACTTAAGTAAAATGTTGCAAGCATTTTCAAAATAGCATTATCGTAATAATAAAAAAAATATATTCTCTAGGTATTTCTTAAAACTGTTAAAGAACGAGAAAAATTAAGAGCTTGGAAAAAAGCCAATCTGGATCCTAGAAATGCATCTCGAACTCCATCTGCTAATAAAGAACCTCCATCTCGGCTTCGTTATTATAGTTCTATACATGCTTGTAAGTTTCTGATTTAAAAATTATATATATATATATTAAGATGCATTAAATTTTCTTAAAATGCATGTATTATTCTCATTTGCAAATTTATATGCTGATTGATAGCAGTTCTTAACTCATAATGACTAATCAGTGTAATATGCTGCAGAATTTTCCATAATTATAAAAATAGTCATCTTAATTTCAGAAGTGATTGCAAATAAATGCAGAAAACGATTGTTGCATGAATGATTGCATAAAATTTGTTGTGGCATATGGTATCATTTATACGAGGGTAAGTTGAAAAATAAGTTTTCCCTGTCGACTGTGATCAGAGTTGTGTGTGAAAGTCAAAAAATAGAATGAGACATTAAAGATATGACATACCTTTATTTTTCCACATAGGTACCAAGTACATTGAGACATTTGTCATATCGCTTGATAAGCTTCAAAAAGCCCTCCAGGAAAAAATCAGGGCTTTGCATATGGAAGAAGCGTTGAACGGCTTGTTTCACTTCAGTATTGCTTCCAAAGCGCCTTCCCCCGAGATTTTTCTTCAAAGCCGGAAACAGATGGAAGTCGCTTGGTGCGAGATCAGGACTGTATGGCGGATGGTGTAGGCGCTCCCAACCAAGAGTTGCAATATGGTTTTGCGTTGCCGTCGCCGAATGTGGTCTGGCATTGTCATCCAACAGCAGAACGCCAGATGTGAGAAGGCCAGGCCGCTTTTTCCGAATCGCCTCTTTCAATTTCGACAGGGTGTCACAGTAGCGCGTAGCATTGATGGTTCCAACCTCCAAAAAGTCCAGCAACAAAACTCCTTGGGCGTCCCAGAAAACTGTGAGGAGCACTTTACCTGCAGAGGGAGTTGTCTTGAACTTCTTTCGGACAGGTGATGACGGATGTTTCCACTCCATAGATGCGGCCTTCGATTCTGGCGTGAAATGGTGGACCCACGTTTCATCCCCCGTCACAATCCGAAACAGAAAGTCATTGCCATCTTCATGGTAACGCACGAGATGTTCCAGGCTGACCCCCATGCGTTGTTCCTTGTGTGTCGAGGTCAATTGTCGGGGCACTCATCGTGCTGACACTTTTCTGTATCGAAGAATGTTGTGGATGATGTTTTGAGCTCGCTCATGTGAGATTCCAAGTTCTTCCGCTACTTCATCGATGGTGATATACGCCGGTTCGCTCTAATCATGTCATCCACCTTCCTGACATTTGCATCTTTAGTGGCCGTGCATGTCCGTCCAGCTTTCGGTATGTCCTCCACTTGCTGACGTCCATCACTAAATGTGCGACACCATCTTCACACCATTTGCTTCGACATCACACCTGACCCATAGACTTCCACGAGGGTCCTGATACTCCACGTGCCCATTCATAGCGGATAACCGCTCTCACTTCCTCCTTTGACCACGAATTCAAAACGCACCTTCTCTCCGTACCTACCAGGGCTCAAATGAGAGGCTGGTCTCCGCTTTGTGCAGGCACTGCAACGGCGCCATCTGCTTGATTTGCAGTGACCTCTACTCAATGGTGTATCGGTGACTTGCGCATTTTCCTGCTGTGTCGTCTTTCGCCCATAGCCATTCAACGCTTCTTCCATATGCAAAGTGTGAATTTTTCTTGGAGGACTTTTTGAAGCTTATCAAGCGATATGACAAATGTCTCAACGTATTCGTACGAGAATAATAAAATAAAGGTATGTCATATCTTTAATGTCTCATTCTATTTTTTGACATACACAACTCTGACCACAGTCGACAGGAATAACTTATTTTTCAACTTACCCTCGTATGTTACCAATGCAGTTAAATCTCTACAGTCTATCATGAGCAAAATTTCATTCCAAAATGCTGTATTACAAAAAACAGTTTTTTGATCTCTGGATGTTTCCTCAAGCTGTCACTGCCAGTAACATTCTTTCAAAAGTGATTAGTTTTGACAAAAGTTTTAAATTGATTTCTCTTGATTAAACAAAGAAATATTGAAATTGCCTTTAAAAACTGTTAAATAAAAATATATTTTGGTTTATTATTTTGAATTGAATACTTGGTTTAATATTAAGATTTTAAAATGTAATTAATTTTTCTACAAAATGTTTACAATTATCCAGATTTTAATTGAATATGTTAGAATTTTTTTTTCCCTTTATAGCTCCTTCTAGGGACATTGACAGACCTAGACCATGGGAGGATGATGAATTTGACCGTAGCTCAGGTTTTCGGTCTTCTCTTGGACGTTCATCTGGAAATACACCATGTTATAATGGTTAAATTTGATTTATAATATAATCTTAGTATTTTCTGTACAACTGTTTTTTGGTTTTACAAAATTCATTTAATTTTGCAGCTATATTAAATTTTGTATCTGTATTTTCTAGTATAACATTTAAATAATGTTTAAAATTTCATATTTATTTATTTCACAGCAGCAGTTCGTACATAGAATGTTTTGAAATCTTTCTCTTATGAAAAATCGTAAAGAAATTAAGCTAGTTAAAAGCGTAATTTTTTTCATAATTTCATTAATTCACCTGAAATCCAGTGTCCCTTTTTCTCCAGTCATTAGTCTACTTCAATATAGGTCATGTGTGTTGCATAAGGGGGTACCAAATATACTGTATTCATATGTATTTGTAGCATCTTGTATATTGATGATCTCAAAAGCTTGATTTGTCCTTCCGTTTGATTTGTCCTTCCGTTTGAAATGCTAATATCTCTAATTAATATCATAAGCTATATTTTTAATGTATCTCCTTAAAAAGTGTCACAGTGTTTAAGTGGATCGGTAGCCAAGAAATAGAACCATATCTGTCTGTTCATTTGCTAAGGAAATCTTTATATAAGAATTAATAAGTAGATCTTTGTGAAAGGAGGCCTATTCTGCTGAAGAGTTGCTCAAGGAAAAGCTTTTCTAATTGTGTTGCATTATAGACCTCCAGTATGTTGATGTAAAACACCTTGTGTCATAGTGGATTTGGGGTTAAAAGAACCATATACATTATTCTGCATTCATTGGATCCAAACATTGATTTCTTTGATATCATGCTGTAAGAATGACCTGTCTGCCATAGGATCATGATTAAGAATCAATCCTATCTAAATTGATCTCCATTTTTTTTCGTCTTTCATAATGCTAGCAATAAGTCCAATATCTGCTTATGATGTTCAGCTATATTCCACTCTGTACATAGAGAGTATAATTTCAGATTCCTATAATGAGCCAACATACAGGTTCTAAAATCACTGAACACTGATAGCTTGCTGTGGACTTCGAGTTGCAATGAATGGGTTGGCTGCATGGGCATTTTTATTTCTCCATGTGTAACATGTACATCATCCAGTTGCCCTTAGAAATTCCTCCACAAAGGCATCTTTTCTCCTCAAGCAGATAGCCCTCAGGTGCTTTGCCATAATTAAATAACCAAACCAGATTCCTATCGTAAATAATTTATATATTTTCATTTAGTGAATTTATACAAACCATTCTGTTTATTTTTAGTCCAAATGGGCTTTGTCCCCTGAGGGACTATTGTTTTCGTTTTGTGTCAAATCACTCTGATTGTCCGTTTTGCTTTTCAAATTGTTGCTGCCAAATATTATCGCCATGTATTATATTTGAGGAAATTAAATAATGAAGAATCTGCATAAATGTATGTATGTTTTTCACATTGTGATAAAACAACGGTACCTACAGCCATCAAATTTTGAATGATGTAATCCTACTGTGAATATAGGCATCTGGAAGCTTAAATTTCAAATTTGGAGTTTGTTTTATTATCGATTTCATATTTTGTAAAACTTTAACGAATTTTTGATTAACAAACTCAAAGGATTTCAAAGCGAGCAATGGCAACGTTGTACAGAAAACATTTTTATCTCCAGCGCGGGAGATTGTGTATCAGAAATTCTAAATATATGCTGAATTTAAAATTATTGAATTTTGATTTAAGTGCGAAGAACATGATATTTAATAAATAAAAAGGTAACACACAAAATGTTAAAAAATGCCCCTTTGGATGTAATTTAAGATCTGAAACCTTTCAAATTTTCTTTTCTATATTAATAAAATTGTTTAAGCAGCCGTAAAATGTTGTTTAAATTCTATAATTGTTGTTGTTTTTAGTTGTATCATCTCTTCGACCTATACCAAAGCCAGGGTATGGTTTTGCTACAAAGTCTGCCACCTTGCCAGCTGCTGGAAGAGAAGGTGGAATGGGTTTTATGGTATGTAGTTTGGTAATGTGAAAGAAAATTTAATCAATAATCGAGAATTTTAAAAATGTAAAAAAACACTTTTAATATCGATTGGTGTAATTAGAGCTTTAGTTTTACATGCAGGTTCAGTAATTCATTCAAATGAAATGAAGCTGTAAAATCTTCTGTTAGTTATCAGAATTGAATATATTTTGTGAAATTTACAAAGATGTGAGCATTCAATATTAATTAGTTGGTGATTAAATAAAAACAATTTAAGAATTTATGATTTTTAATATAAATGTAATTTTTTTTTCATTCTTACAATTTTGCAAGATATGATATTGTGTACTGATGACATTCAGCCAGTTTGTACTGATTCAGCAGAACCATTTTGTAAAAGTACTAATTTTAATTTGCAAACTGCTTGTTAAAACTGAATTGTGATATCCGAGTAGTTTGCATATATTCAGTTAGCTGCTTTTGTTGTGTATTTATGCATTTTGTCATTTCTTAAATTATTTGGTAATCAAAATAAATATGAAATTTGATATACACTCACGTTTGTGAAAATTGCAACACCAAGAAGGAATTGTCATAATTGAATGCAATTTAATACACAGTTGAGTGGTAGTGGTACAAATAAATGATTAAATGTTCAAAGCAAACAAACAATAACAAGAGATCAGAATCAGTATTTTGTGTGGCCACCACGCGCCGCAATAAGTGCTGCTACACGACGTGGCATGGAGTCAAACAAAGTTTGAATGTCTGACTGAGGAAGAGCATTCCATATCGTTTGTACACGTACCCAAAGTTCGTCTGCAGACACAACAGGACGAGGATCACGAGCAAGACGCCGACCAATGACATCCCACACATGTTCAATTGGCGACATATCCGGGGAACACGCAGGCCAAGGAAGAAGCTGTACCTGCTGCGCTGCAAAGAAGGATTTAACAATCCGAGCAGTATGAGGGCGGGCATTGTCCTGTTGAAATACAGCGCCTGGCAAGCTTTGAAGGAAGGGAACAGCTTCGGGCTGTAGAACTTCACGGATATACTGGTTGCTGTTCAGATTGCCCACAATTCGTTGCAATTGAGATCATCTATGATATGCTATGGCGCCCCAGACCATAACTCCGGGTGTTCGTCCACTGTGGCGTTCGATAATGCACTCCGGAAGGTGGCGTTCACCGGCATAGCGTCTGACACGAATGCGGCCATCATGGTACCACAAATTAAAGTGGGATTCGTCAGAAAACACGACATGCTGCCAATGAGCACGCCAGTCTCTATGCTGATTGGCCCATTGTAGCCGCAGGCGGCGATGATCGTGCGTTAGGGGGATCCTGTATAAAGGAGTCCGTGCGCGCAGTCCACACTGCAGCAGACGTCTACGAATTGATGAAGCACACAATGAAACACCTGTAGCTATTGACCACAGTGCTGCCAATTGTCTAGAGGAAGCTGTACGGTCCGTCCGCGCCATGCGGACCAGGTGTCTATCATCGCGAGCTGACGTCACATTTCGGGGTCCACTCCCGGATTTCCGAGTTGTCCGACACTCGTCCGTCCACTGCTTCCAAACGCGCATCACTGTGCTGCTGTTACGCTGCACACGAGAGGCTACTGCACGATACGACAATCCAGCTTCACGAAGGCCGATGATTCTCCCTCGTTCAAACTCTGTAAGTTGTTCAAATCTCGCTCTCTTTCGTCGACGAGGCATAAGTACAGATTGAGTTAACGTTTACCACTAGCAGATAACCACCGATAACCATACACGCCTCGCTACAGCCGTCTATTTATTCGGATTCATCAGCCGTTCAGAGGGCGCTGCTCAGCATACGCATGCGCTACGGATTTGCAATTCTACTCATTTGCATATCATGCGCTACTTTGCATTTCCTGAAAATTTCAGCTCACTCGCATAAGTCCTTCATGGTGTTGCAATTTTCACAAACGTGAATGTATTTATTATGTACAGCGTTATGTTTCTGTAAATATTTGATTAATTTTTCTTGTGTATATAAATTTGATTTAATTTGCCTTTGTAATGTTTATCAGTTACTGAACTACCAACCAATCAAAATGACTGCATTCCTTCTTGATACAAAGATATATGTATTATCATGATTAGTTCTTATGTTGCACAGAATTTCAGTATTATTTATTGTGAACTAGTATTTTGTGATATGAAAAATTCTACAACTGAAAGTTTGTATCAAAAACTTGTAAAGTCATTGCACATTAAGAAATAAATTGCAAATTGAACAACAGAATTAGTATTCAAAATATTTAATCTGTGGATGTAAATAAATGTTAAAAAATTGCATAGATTTATGCAGATGCAAAATCATATTATTTCACTTCTCAGGCATTTTTTCAAATCGGATGCTTCAGTGGGTTTACTGAGTAGAAGTTTTTTCCAGAGCGCTGAAGAGTGAATTGTATTATTTTGAATACCTGTGAGAAAATGTCGGAAATAAGACCTTAAATCAGTGAAAATATATTCTACATGTTCTCTGGTATAATTGGAATTATGAAATCTGAAAGTATAATTAGTTAGAGAATAATATGAATAAATGTTACAAATTAATATAAATTCAATTCTGTTTAAATTTTCTTGATTTCAGACCAGCGACTTAGCTTTTGTGAAAATTCAGCCAACACAGAGCTCAGAATTTGGCAGTGGCAAATCTGATCGTAAGTGTTTTCTATGTTAAAAAACTTATATGCTTATGGTTCATTATTTACTTTAATGTCTTAATCTCTGGTGTATATTCTTCCAAAGCTTATGCCTCTAAAAGTATCTTTATTTAATTTAGTAAAGCGTTGACATTAAAACAAATGCTTCTCTGTGTAGACTTTCACGATATCCCTGCCCTGTGCAATGTGGTTTGTATAGCAGTATCAAATAATTTGCATTTATGGCTAACTTCTTAAGTTCCTATATAAAGTATTCAAGAATAGGTCACATAAATTTCTAAATTGACCAATTTGTGTGTAATTCCAGTGAAAAACAAAGATGTGCATTGAGTTGACTAAGAAAGGGGTTTTCATTGCATAAGTAAAAGTTAAATATCTTTTTTAATAAATGAGTATATGTATTTGTGAAAATTGCAATACAGTGGAGGAATTTTCAGAATTGAATGAAATTTATTTAGCTATGATTTATAGTGATTCTAAGAAATGCTAAAATTCACAAAGCAGTCCAAGAATATTAAATGGCCAAAATTAGTGTTTGTTGAAGCTGCCATGTTATGCAACAAAAACTATTTGTTGTGGCATTGAATAAAGCAGCTTTTGTATGTGTACTTGATGAATAGCATTTTATATTGCTTCTATGCAGCATTTTGATTTGTAATGGCTGTGGGACAAATGTCGTGAGCAAGTTAGTTGCCTGTGCTCAAAATCCTAGGCAGATTCAATAGGCAACATATCTGGCAAATGGACATGCCAAAAAAGAAGCGAACGATGTTTGTTATGTTGAGAAGAAGTTTAACATTTAAACATTTCTGCAATGTATGGTTGAAACATTTCTAGTTTCTAGGGATGAGTGAAGCTAGTATGACTTAAGAGGCTCCACAGTCTCCTTGATATAGTGATGCTGATGAGAATATCTTCAGTTCTTAGCAGGTGACATCGTCCCGTCATATCCAGTAGTGTCCCAGACCATGATACTTGGTGATCATCCAGTATGATATTGGATAATGCACTCCAGAAGATGACATTCACACCTATAGATTCTAAATAGTATTCAACCGTCACTGAATTCCACATTGAAGCAGAATTTGTTGAAAAAGATGATCTGTTGCTAATCAGCATGTCATTGGCTGTATTGACGAGTCCATTACAGTCATGGGCAACGATAATTTTGAGATAAGTGTATAGCCAGACTTGTGACTTATCCAATATTCTTGAGCTCTTGAGCTTTGACATACTAATTACTGAGAAGGCAATTAAACCACATACTAGTTGCACTTTCATAATACAAAAATCCTTCTCTTCTCAGACTAATCATTCGCCCCTTTTGAAGCAGCGTAACTTGTTTATATTGGGCCCTTTGCCGTTGATGAAGCATAGTGGTTTCTCTTGAAACATTTATTGTGGACAGATAAAGCAACAATGCTTTTAACCTTCTATTTATGGCTAACACAGCATTTCTGGGGACCCCTTATCATGCACTGTCATTTGGAATTCTAATCATTTGCTTATCATAGCAAGCATTGCATTTACTTCAAGTTTCAGTATATTTACATGATTTTTTTATGGTGGTGCAGTTGTCACAAGCAGGAATATAGGAAGAGAGAGAGTATATGCTGCTTAACTTAAAGTCCAATATTTTTTTTCTTTCATTCTTCTGAAGAAGAAAATTCCAAAAGATGAAAAAGTATTTTAAAGCAATATTTTTTTTTTAACATTTTTCCTCAACTTTTTGATAAGATGATTTTTCCAAACCCTTTATCATGGAGTAAATTTATTTAATAATGATTATTATAAATAATGAAATAATTCGTCAAAAATTGCAGTGTATTTGTAAGTTTAAGAATTTGTTTCCAAAAGTAATATTATGTTTAAATATTTAACAAATTAAATTCACTAAAAATTAGTCATCGGTTTGTTGACTAATTATTTTACAATGTGTGAGCTTCATAATGAGTGCACATTATTTTTACAAATAATCTCTCTTTAAATGTATTTCCAATTATATTTGCTAATATCATAATTCCTAGCTTGAGAATTATGTGCTTAATATCACAATATTTGTTATCAGTGCAATGAAAATTTGTATAATTACTGATAAAAGTATAATTTGTAAATTTAATATTATCAAATTCAGTGCTATAAAGAAACCAGGGTTTTAATCTCTGTTAATAAAATTTATTCTTTCAATAATTTTCCTTTATTCATGTGTAGGATTTTATAAGCATATTTATTAATGTGGGGTAAATTTTAACCAAATTTATTTTAATTGTGAAAATAATTTTCTTTCTATTAAATGTGTTGATATGGTCTTTTTAAAAATCTGAATGAGAAACATTTTTATAATATTTTAAATGAAATATTTAGTTTTAGTAGCATTTTGAATAGCTGTGACGTAAGAGTTGAAATATCTTTGGCTGCAGTACTTATAAATTATTTAAACTTAAACAAAATACCTTAAAATTGTAAAGGGAGGGTATAAAAAATCTTAAAAGTCTAATTCCCTTTTTTCCTCAATGTAAATCAAAATTTTTTGGATATTGCAAATGTGAATCTTTTCTGCCATTACGGTGTCAGCGCTCACAAATTTGAAAGAGTAGTATTACTTGAATTCACCTTCGAAGAGCTTATTTGAGACAAGGTAAAGTATTTCACTTCCATGAAATGGACTCAAGTACTGTCTCACAATTCCAACACAAGTCTCTTGAATTGCACTTCTGATTCGACCTATAAATGTTGCCATGAGCAAACTTCTGCTAACATAACAAAATGCTGAAGAGCTGCAGAGACCTTTTTATTAGCTTGGATAAAATAAACAAGTAGGGTTCAGGCACTGGAAGTTCTAATATTAAATGAAAAAATGGAAATGTCCAATTAAATAAGAAAGCTTTTGTAGTTCCTTGAAAAAAGTTTTAACAAACTCTTAAAATCGAATAGCTGTGTGTAAATATAATGATGAAAAGGTTTAGGCAGTAGGTTATCTGGTCAGTGTTTGCTTTTTTCAATAATTTAGATGGTGTTGCTCGAAAAAAGTCTAATGACTTTTCAATTCTTGATAAAAAAGGGCTGAAAAAGATAAAATTTCTGATAGTTTGCATAGTAGTTTTGAAATCTATAAAATGTCAATCATCATCAAAATATCTTAAGCAAATGTATGTAGAGATACAGTTTAAAATAAAGCGTTAAAATGATCACAGCTACACTTCAGCTGTATTTCTATAAACTGCCTATTTTAAAATTTATGAGATCTGTGAAAATTATTTTTTGAATTAAAGAATGCTGCTGTAGCTTAGCAAGAAATCATCATTTTTTATGACATGAACACATTTTATAATATTTGAATTTAGTAATGAGAGTTGTATACTATGTATTATTTATTTGCCATTAGGAGAACCACTTGCTTAAATATATATAGATTTAATTTTACAATTTGTTATTTTTAGTGTCACCTACTCCTGAGCAAGGAAAAATTCCGGTGGTAAGTATTGTATAAAATTTTATTGTACATATAAATGCATTTAATCATGTAATTCTCTACATATATTGCAGATTGTTATCTTATTTTAGAATCATAGTGCAAGTACGACATTTAGATCAACTCCATATTCAGAAGGCTTTACTTTTCGTCATGCATCTTACAGTCCTCATTTGAGGCGTTCTATGCCAAATGTCAATCTTCATATGTCAACTGAGCCACCTAAGGTAATAGCAAATAAAGAATTTTGCCAGTGTTAAATAACTTGATTGCAAATAGTATTATTAAATTATAATTTAATAAGAAATGGGCACATTATGAGGTCTAGTCAAAATGTTTCTGGACGTTGAATGTCCTTTACTTATGTTAGTTTTATTGCGGCACCAGTCTAGGGATATTGCCTCCAAAACATGTTAGATTATTGAAGGAAAAGCCAACATTCTTTGTACATAAGCAGTATCCTAGCTTTTGCAAAGAAATTCAATATGCATTTTGCAAATATTGTCATGTTGAATTTTACTGAATAATATGCTGCATCAAATTCTGTTTCAAATGAGAAAAAAATTGTTGCAGAATGTTTTGTAATGTTAAAGCTATGAGTCTTTCCAAAACTTTTAAATGTTTCTGGTTTAAGGTGGGGAGGATTTCAGTTGATGACTGTGTGTGCTGTTATGATCAGTTAAATATCAAAAATGATTGAAAGAATGCATCAGATTATGCCATTAATTAAATAAGCTTGCTAACAAGAATTAGCCACTGAAGTGAAGCTATCATTAACTGGAAGATTTCAAGATGATATGTGTCTCATCAAAGCTCATGCCCAGACTTTTTTAATGTTGAAGAAAAAAGCTGCAAACAAATTGCTACTAATGATCTCAGCTTTCTTTTTAATGTAATTATGGATGAAGAAACTTGGTTGTTATTTTCAAATCTGAAAATGAGCTGAAGGGGTTAGGAAAGGGATCTGAGATGATGAAGGAAATTCAAGCAGAGTCACAAGTCATTCCTAAGATGCTAAAGTAGCTTGACTGCCATGAATGCTTCAACAGTTTGCAGTGCCACTGAGATTGTTGTCAGGCTCAAAGCTACTTTGGTATAGAGGGCACTAATATCTAAGCTGAATCTGTTTTTAGTTATCAATTCGGGAATTTTTGACTGGATCTCGTATGTTAAAACTTTTTTTATGTTTAGTAAATATTAACTAAATTTGCAATTTTTAATGTCTCATTTTTTGGGGGAATTTTCTGAAGAGTGTTCTATACAATAATTACTGTAAAGTAATTAGGTATTAGCTAGTACCTAGCAATAAACTGCCAGTATTGTGTTCTCCTCTTTCAACCATGAAAAGTATTTCCAGCATCAGCAAATGAATGAAGTAGATTTTTATTTTGGGTTGGCATTGTTTGGCAGTCACATGAAATTATTCTCTCTCCATAGCTTTTTTTCTGTCTTTATTCGAACTTTAAGTTCGCTAAATAAGAAGTCGAATGAAGTCTCTTGAACCACCTCCCTATTCTTATTCTAATATATTATCAGTCGTTGTTAACATTACATTTTCATAGTATATGTTTTGTTTTACAGTTTCATTGTACAGGGTTGCCATGCTACCTGAAAAACTGTAAAAAGTATTGGAATTCGAAAGTTTACCAAAAAAGTTGTTAAATAAATCGATGTCATATGAAGAAGCAAATCGAAAAATAAGAAACGTATCTTTTCACATTTTTTATTGAAACTTCTTAACAACACGTGCACAACATTACATCGGCATCCATAGCTCGCATACGCAGAGGAGAGAGAGAACTTGGTGTTGCCTAATATGGTAAATATAAATGTACCAAACTAACACACCTCCTTACATTTATATTTATACTAATTACAAATAAACATAGATATAAGCAATCATTTTCATCTTTACCATTTACAATTAAGCATAGATTTAAACAATAACATTCAACACTTAAATTATTTAAAAAAGGTTTCTTTCATTAACTTTAAATGTAAAATCAAAGTTAAACATAATTTAGTTTACATAAGGACATTACCAAAATCTACTTCATTTCAAGCAAATAATATTTAAATAAACATCACTTAAATAAACAGTACACAAATTTACTTCAATTTCAAACCTTCCCTAAAATTTCATAAATTTAATCTTTCCTAAAGACTTAGTAAAGATATCTGCAATATTTGATTCTGAATCAATCTTTACAATTTCAATTATTTCGTGAACGTAATGATATTGAACTTCTATGTGTTTTGAATTTTTAGTGAAGTTCCCATGATTAGCAATGGCCAAAGCTCCTGAATTATCTTCATAAATTTTAATGGGGTGAGTTATATCAGCAAAAACATCATTCACAACATTTTTTAAGAAATAATTTGTCACAGCCTCAGATAGAGCAATATATTCGGCAAAGTGGAAGATTTTGTCACACAATTTTGCTTTTGGGATTTCCAGTAAATTGGATTACCAAATAATTCAATAACAAACCCAGTAGTTGACTTTCTGTCAACAATATCACCTGCCCAATCAGCATCAACATAACAATTCATAATACAGTCAAAAGTAGTTAATTCGGACACCCATAATCCGGAATGATCTATAATCCGGACCTCAAAGCTACAAACTTTCTGCGCATGTGTCGCGTTCACGCATGCGCACAGACGTTTACGAGAGCGCGTAAGACTCTTACGGCTGCGAATATGTTTGTGCGCATGCGCGTTTAATGTGTAATGAAGTAATATGCTAAGCTAAAGTTATCTAATTCAGTTAATGTTGCAGATTACGTTGTTCCTTAATCTTCGAGTTGGATTCGGCTTATTATTTTTTGCAGACTGTTAGAGCAATTTTATAAAAGTAAGCTTGAACTTTCGATTATGTCAAATTGAATTTCGGATATATATTTACTACAAAGCGAAAGTATGTTTTGAAATCCGAAATCTGTTTATCAATTTCACGCTGCTCTGCGGCAGAGGGGGGAGGCAGAAACGTCATTATTAAATTATGATAGATTAGAAAGATTATGTCAAATAGAATTTCTGATATATATTTACTAATATGTAAGTACTAAGAGTAGTATTTCATCTCCGTCTTTGATATGATTTAAATCAAGTTCCTCGTCATTATAATTCGCTTCTGATAGTGAAGAAAGTGACCCAGAGGTTATTAAAAACGAAAACATTTCGATTGACAAATTAGTCGGTATTCTCAACACAGCAATTATAGGACTTGAACAGCGGAACTTTGTAACTAAACAAGAAATTATGTCTGTTTAATAGAATTAAAGAGAAAGTATTATCACATGAACGAAAAGCAAGCAACTTACATTGAAGGAAATGTTTAATAAAGTAAACAAATAAATATTAAGCTTTTTCTTTTTGTAAATTTTGATACCCTTTAGTTCATAATTGTTCTTTATTTCATAAATTACGGTTTCATATTTTTAATTTTGTAATTTCTGCATGCCATCTTACCAGATTTAAACTGATGATCTATAATCCGGAAAAATCGATAATCCGGAATCGCCGAAGTCCCGACGAGTCCGGATTAACGACTTTTGACTGTATCAGTTTTAAGATTTTTACTATAGGTTAATTTTAGATGTTTTGTTAAGTACAAATACTTTAAAACTCCCAAAGCGTATTTGAAATGTGTCTCATCATAACAATTTTGAAATCTACTTAAATAATTTACACTGAAAGATATGTCTGGTCTAGTACCATGACTAATATACAAGAGTGCTCCTATTAGATTTCTATATTTGACATTTTGATTTAAATTAGATTGGCTTAGTTTAAGATTAGTTTCCATTGGTATATCATAAAGCTTTGAATTTTCAATACCATACAGTTTAGCTAAAGATTCAATATAATTTTCCTGACTCAGTGTTAAGATATTACTTTTCTCATTATCATATTCAATATCAATTCCAATGTAGCTTTTTACTTTATTTAAATCCTTCATTTTAAATTTTTATGTAGTTGTTCCTTTATATCATCAATTGATTACCCGAGTATCTCTTGCAACATATCAACAAATCATTAACACATAAAAGAATATATACAAATACACATCATTTTCAGATTTTACATAAAGACAATAATCATATTTACTTCTACAAATCCTAGACTCTCAATATACTCGTTAAAAGCACTTCATACCAAGCACGAGGGCTTTCTTTCAACCCATATAGTGCTTTCTTTAATTTATACACTCTATTCGAATTATCATCATTATAGCCTTGTGGCTTGTTTAACATAAACCTCAGACACAACATAACCATTTAAAAAAGGCAGTCTCAACATCCATTTGATGAATATTTAAATTATACTGACAAGAATATGAAAGTAACAATTTTAAGGTTTGCATCTTAATGACAGGGGAGTAAGTGTATCCTCAATACTATCTTTTTGCTGGAAACCTCGAACCACTAATAAAACCTTGAACCTCTTAATAAAACTACACTTTAAAAACATTACCTGGTTTTCTTTTGAATACCCCACTTCACATCTAGAATTGCTTTATCCTCTGGTTTAGTCACTAGTGTCCAAGTGTTATTTTTAACAAGACTGTTCATTTCACTGTCCATTGCCTCTTTCCAATGTCCAGCCTCGCTGCATGTTGTCGCCTCTTCAAAGTTACCTGGAACTGTAGCATCACAAAAATTTGCACTAACACAGTAGTACCCGAATTCTTCATGAAATCGAACTGGTGGTTTGATTTGCCTTCTTGGTCTCATTCCAATTTTTGTTTCATCTTCATTTATCACACTGTCCTTGGAGTTATCATTACTCGATTCACACGACACTTCTTCAGGTTCATTCTTCTTATTTGTATCATCATTCTTATCTTCATCATCACAACCTACACACATTATGTCTTCTTCAATAATATCAACATGTCTGGCAACTAAAAACTCTATATCCAACTTCTGTATACACAAGTAAAATTCAAAATTCAGCTTTTTTATCCCACTTAGACTTTCTCTTTTCTTCTGGTATTCTTACATACACTCTACTTCCGTATAATTTCAATTCATTAGCAGATGGTTTCCTATTGAAAAATATTTCATATGGTGTCTTCTTTACAATAGTATTTGTTAATGTCTTGTTTTTCAAATAAGCAGCAGCTTTAATTACTTCAGGCCAGTAACGTCTGTGAACTTTTGCTTCGGCTAAAAGACATCTTGCCATATCCATTATAGTTCTGTTGTAACGCTCAGCAGTACCATTTAATTCGTGTACATATGGTGGGCATGGCTTTATCTTGAAACCT